CAAATAGTGCGCTTACAGCGCGGTAGTAAACATTCTAATTGTTTTGCTGCTAAACTGCTAAATAGTAAAGTTGGGGCGTGCTCTTCATATCTGAGAGTCAAAAAGAACCGTCAAATAATGCTGTGACATAGCATTTTTAAACATTCACATTTTTTGGCTGCTTAATAGTACATTTGCGGTCTGCGGTGCACTTCATATCTAAGAGTCAAATAGAACCATCAAATACCAATATAACAATATTGTAATTCGGGGACAATACCCTCACAAGTCAAACTGAGAGGTCAGTTTATAGGGAAAACTGTTGCCTAAATACAATTCTAAAACAATTTCCATATGTCCTTTGCAGACTTTACATGCTGGAAAAACACAGGTGCCAACTGCTGTGTCTTTCTGCAGTGTGCAGACTGGCAAATAGGGCAGGGTTGAGGAGTGGGTGGAAGATGATGTGGAGGATGATGAGGTCCTACACCCCACATAGAATCAGGGATGATGTGTGCAGTTTGGAGGAAGAGGCGCTGGTCGCACAAAGGCACCAGCACAGCATAAGAGGGAGCAGGGAGCAAAAGCAGAGCGGCCGTCCCCTAGCGCTCGTCTGCATGTATTATCTTTAGAATTCCTACAGTTATCCAAGTAACAGATGGAACGATAAAAGGAACCATAACAGATTTAATGAGCCATTCGCAGTTTTGCAGTCCGGTGACCAGGAACCAGACAATATCTGGGCGGCGGTCGGACGACCGGGACCCAGTATGCCTGATGTTGAAGTTAGGAGTCACAGTGTGGAATGGATTAGCAGGGTCTGGTGCAGGGTAACCGCACCCTGGTGTTGAGCACCAGCGTTTGTGCGGCCACATACCAGGACCCTGATGCAGCTTCAGTAATAAGAGTACTGGATATCATAAGCCATCACCAGACTGATCCGCAACTTGGAACAGGATGTGACATTCATTCGGCGTTCTCACCCTGCTGCTGCTCGCCTGTCTGCGCTGCAGCGTAACTTTGGCCTTCCCGCTTGTAAAATATAGCTTGAATGTCAACGATGTTAAATCTTCTTAATTTCTTCTTGCCTTCAGTTGATTGATATATACGTCTTTTGTATATATAGTCTTGGGCCATATTTGCTCGCCATATTAATATATGTCTATATTAATAAAAAATACTAATACGCAATCTGACTTTCGGTTTCTTCAGGTTTATTCTTAGTTACTGATGCATAATAAAACAACAAAGGATATAACATGATCATGGATGTTCAACAGCAGATGGTAATTGCTGGACTTCTGACGAGAGAGTTACATCTTGTACAGGAAAAAGAGCCAAGAAAGAGAGCTCGTGTTCAGTTACTATATAGATATGACCATAATGACGTCAGACTATAACTCTAGCCATATAAGGACAAAACTCCCAACTTACATTCCAGAGCTCTCGGACAAAGAAAGCCTTGTGACTTATACCATCTGTTACTTATGTCAATCCACACATCCATATATAATCAATAGAAACATAGAATATGCAATATTCTACATTCCCTCTGTTTATGGTTTGTCTTAAAACCATAACACAATGTAACTAACCTGTCCATTCATACATCACTCGTATCACATTCATTGAGCATAGAACAAGATGTAGTCACAACTTTCTATTATATGAGAGTTCTTAGAAGGTCGAGTTTCTATCCCTCATACTGCTTACTTTACTTCAAACTCCCTCTGTTTCAGCTATGTATTGATATCCATGTCACATCATAACTACTTGAACATAATATATACATATATATATAATAATAATAAATTAATACAATAAAATATTTACAAATGTTGATCCAATAAACAATGTAAAGCAATGATAAAGATCAACCTGCTCAGGTACAGTCATGTCTTTGTAGACAACAAAATCAAGATTGTAACTGTCTAAATAATAACTGTGTATTACTATCATATTCCTACAGACATATATAACAAAGTATTTTCATTCTCAATACCTGGTATTACTTAAGTACTAATACATGAATTGCTATAATATACATCCACTTATACTTCCATGAATCATATGTTTTCTAGTCAACTTAAAATCAACTTAAAATCTTTAGGTCATTTGTATTCATGAATTACATTCCTATACCATTAATACCACCTAGTGATGATTGTATCAATACTTTATAATCATAGTATTTAATTTGCATATTCAGTAGGCTTTCACTAACTGAAATATACCAACACTACTTATAAGACTCATAATAGTTTGCAAACCTTCAAAGGTTGTGTTGTTATCAACCATGAAGTTTTATAATAATTCTTCAAATAATGTTCATGTTGTTGACAATACTTATTGTTCTAGAAATTCTCCACCCAGAAATCTTTCTATCATAGATTTGTTTTTGTTTACATAATTATAATTTTCACTAAATTCCACCTTGTAGTAATAAACTTTTCATTCAATAGAAACATAGTTTATGTTAAAATAACTTGGGAAGAATAATATAAATTAATTATCATTACTCTCCTCATTAGACCTTAATTGTGATGACTTATTAACGTAATACATCTTAAAAGCAGGATTGTCCTAATGTTCTGACCAATCCGTATTCCTTAGTACACTTCAACTGACTAAATTAAAATAAAATAAAATAAACTTGGGGTCATACTGCCCAGAAACTCTTACTCCTTGTCTGTGTCTTACAAACAAAGGGTAATCATAAAACAACTTATAACAACTTATTCATTCATTGGATACCGTCATATCCAGAAACCTATTCTACCTAGTCCATGTAACGGATCACCTGGCACCCTGACTGGGTACCTCCGTTGAAGGATGCTCCTAGCGCTTCCTGAGGGCTCCAAGCACTGCAACAGACCCCATAACCACTGTAGACTCCTCCAGAGAGCAAGGCAGGAACAAGCTCTTAAAAGTGCTTAGTAGTAATTAGCTAAGGGAGTATGCAGAGCATAGCAATCCCTTGTAATGATATATGTAACAGACCGTTTCTCTCACAAGAGGCTAAAAAACGTTTAGGCGATAATCCCCTTTCCCATAGACCAGCAGCTACTGCAATCACCAATCTCCCGAACTCCAAACTGTACGAATCCCCAAATCCCGAACAGGAAACACATGAACCCTGGAAGCAGCCGAACAGGAAAAGCAATATGAACAGCTTACACTCCTGGCAATCGGCATACAGTCAAATTCCCCCCAAGAATGAGACAACACTTCACTTTGAGGGTTAAGCATGAACAGCACCAGATTTATTCTCACAATCTCCTTATAAGACATTCTCCCATGCAAGGGAGGGGTTTACAGTATACCAATAGCATAATGGTTACAACCCACAGATTCCCTCCCCTCAGATAACCAGCTAACATAATTAACATGTACATAGTTTTACCCAAGTTTTGGATGTACCCTAAATACTTGGGGTACATCCACAAATCCAGTATCCCCAGATAGCCCTAGTCTGGAGGAACAACATATGGAAAAATCAGCCCATTCGGATAAAGGGTTCGGGAGTTATGGGACTTTAACGTTTTGACCGACCGCACAGGCAAAGTAACCAAAAATAGTTCCATGAGGTTTGGCCTTGCGGTCGGTCCCAGATCGTGCGTTAAAAGTCCCGAACGGATTGCCATCCAGAGTTATACCGAAGTCCTGATGAATCCCCATATGAACATTAGTCTTTCTACCGAACGGCGGCTTGTTCGGTAGTTGTGGCACGGATCCATGGAAGTCTGGAGGTCTCAGCGGTGTTTGCCTAGTCAAGTGTCCGATTTTAGTTCCAGACACTCGACGGCAAAACACCGCTGTTCGGGAGTCAAAGATGGCCGCCGCCACGTGTTCGGTTTACGAACAAAGGCCACCCAGCGCTCATCAATTAAGCTGCGGTTAACTGCAGCTGCTGGGTGGTCAATTGATGGCACACTCCAGTTCCCAGGTGGTCCTTAGATTGGTACTTTGTTTGGTAGATTGAATCTACCGAACACTCTGGCAAAAAGGTATGAATACGCCTTTCTGCAGGGAAAATCAAGGTGTGAACTGGGCCATAATCCAAAGGGAGTAGGCGGGCAATCAGGCTTCTCCAGTTCACAGTGGCGAGGGTAGGTCCGCCACAATATAGCAATTCCCCCAAAAAGAGACAAGACTCTAGATTGAGGGTGAAGTAGAACTGACTTTACTGGCACATACAGCCTCTTTTATTCACATTCTACAAACATTGTACTGCCCACAGGGTTTTGAAGAACAACCAATCAACACATTACAACACAGCTAACACTCCCATTCAATACATCAGAAATCCTCCACTTTGCCTGTGATACAATTATCTCAACACAATAGACTAACTTAATTATCACAGGCAGGCGACCTCACCGCCTCATATGCGATGTCCCCAAAAGGTGGAACTCCAGCTTGCACATGCTGGAGAGACTGTGTGAGCAGCAGCAGGCGATAGTGGAGTTTCAGATGCAGCACGCACGGGTCAGTCGCTCTGCACCAGACTTGCCCTCCAATTGATCAGAGTTAAAGGATTTCAGGTGGACTCATTACAATTACAGGGCATCTAAAGAGTTGTGTTGTATGGTAGCTTGTGGGCCAGGGTGGTTGTGCTTCCCGGTGCCCTCTGCTCCCTTCTTCCTTCATCTGGGTTCATGGAGGTTGCCCTCTGTCTATTGGCAAGGACATAGGCTTGCACCTCCCAAAAGGTCCTGCTGACAATCTCCTCTGAGGGTGGCTCTCGGTAATATGCCAGGCGCCGTTACACCTCCTTGCGCACTTCTTCCTCATATCCTGCTGCTGCTCACCTTTCTGCGCTGCAGCGTAACTTCGGCCTTCCCGCTCACCGCCTCATGAGACTGTGCGAGCAGAAGCAGGCGATAGTGGAGTTTCAGCTGCAGCACGCATGGGTCAGTCGCTCTGCACCAGACTTGCCCTCCAATTGATCAGAGTTAAAGGATTTCAAGTGGACTCATTACAATTACAGGGCCTCTAAAGAGTCCTGTATTGTTATTTGTCGTCACTACCTTCCCGCGTTGGGAGTGTGTCATTTGTGCGCCTGCTGTCTTCCTTGTATGTGGTAGCCATTTCTCATGCTCCCTCTCCGGAATCAAACCCTGATTCCCCGTTACCCGTGATCACCTTGTTAGGCGCAGTATATGGCATCGAAAGTTGATATGGATGACATACGAATGCGTCGTCGCCTTGTCATTCAGAAGCCCATTGAAAACGTGCTCTAGCATGACGAGCTGGGTGATCACCTCCGGGAACTTGGCTTGATGGGAATTGAGCCAGTTCTGGGTGGCCCTTGTGATGCGGAATGCCCACTCCGCATGGGAGTCCTTCTCCCCTTTCCGGGTCTCCCTAAATGTTCGGCGGTATTGCTCAGGGATGACCGGGCCAGGATGATTTGGGTAATAAAGGGATAGTCTTTGATCTGCTCTTCTGGTACAGCCCGGTAAATATCCACTGTCTTCCCCACTAGTTTGCTGGCCAGGATGGTGACCCAGTCGCTGGGGTCCACGTCTTGGAGTACTCACAGGCTCTCAAAGTCTTGTAAAAAGTAATCAATGCCTTCTTCTGCTTCCTTGAAGTCTTTGAAGGCATTGTATGGTATCTTGTGGGCCAGGGTGGTTGTGCTTCCTGGCGCCCTCTGCTCATTTCTTCCTTCATCTGGGTTCATGGAGGTCGCCCTCTGTCTACTGGCAAGGACATAGGCTTGCACCTCCAAAAAGGTCCTGCTGACAATCTCCTCTGAGCGTGGCTCTCGGTAATATGCCAGACTCCATTACACCTCCTTGTGCACTTTCTCCTCATCTCCTGCTGCTGCTCGCCTGTCTGCGTTGCAGCATAACTTCGGCCTTACTGCTCACCGCCTCATGAGACTGTGCGAGCTGCAGCATGAACGGGTCAGTTGCTCTGCGGAACAGAGTTGTCTTTTTTATATGTCCCAATATTTTGTGGGCTACCACAATTAATATATATATATATATATATATATATATATATACAGTGTTGGCTACCTCCTCCTCCTCCACCGCTGCTTCCACCTACACCGCCACGGTCACCGCCTCCTCAATCTATGGGTCACTTAGTATAAACTTTGTACACAATAGCAGAGGCTTGTGAAGGCCTTTTCTCTATGCATCAGGAGTTGAGCATTTCTCCATGCATCAGGACTGCAAGAAATGCACCGCAGGCCACAAATGTTTATGTTTTTTATATGTCCCAATATTTTGGGGGCTACCCCAATAAAAAACAAAACAAAAAACAAATAAACAGTGTTGGCTACCCCCTCCTCCTCCACCGCCACTTCCACCTCCACCGCCACGGTCACCGCCTCCTCAACCTATGGGTCACTTAGTATTAACTATGTATGTAACGGATCAACGGGCACCTCCGTTGAAGGATGCTCCTAGCGCTTCCTGAGGACTCCAGGCACTCTAGCAGACACCACAACCACCGAACCGGAGAAGCATACAAATGCACTCAAACATATGAAAGCTAGTAATGTCCCGAATGGTTCGCTGGTGAATAGTTCCTGGCGAACATAGCGTGTTCGCGTTCGCCACGGATGGCGAACATATGCGATGTTCGGTCCGCCCCCTATTCGTCATCATTGAGTAAACTTTGACCCTGTACCTCACAGTCAGCAGACACATTCCAGCCAATCAGCAGCAGACCCTCCCTCCCAGATCCTCCCACCTCCTAGACAGCATACAATTTAGATTAATTGTGAAGCTGTTTTCATTTTTTTTTGTGTTTGTGTTTATTATACATTATCCTCCATAGCCAGTAACCTGTGTTTATTATACATTATCCCCCATAGCCAGTAACCTGTGTTTATTATACATTATCCCCCATAGCCAGTAACCTGTGTTTATTATACATTATCCCCCCCATAGCCAGAAACCTGTGCTTATTATACATTATCTCCCCATAGCCAGTAACCTGTGTTTATTATACATTATCCCCCCATAGCCAGTAACCTGTGTTTATTATACATTATCCCCCCATAGCCAGTAACCTGTGTTTATTATACATTATCCCTCCCATAGCCAGTAACCTGTGTTTATTATACATTATCCCCCCATAGCCAGTAACCTGTGTTTATTATACATTATCCCTCCCATAGCCAGTAACCTGTGTTTATTATACATTATCCCCCCATAGCCAGCAACCTGTGTTTATTATACATTATCCCTCCATAGCCAGTAACCTGTGTTTATTATACATTATCCCCCCATAGCCAGTAACCTGTGTTTATTATACATTATCCCTCCCATAGCCAGTAACCTGTGTTTATTATACATTATCCCCCCATAGCCAGTAACCTGTGTTTATTATACATTATCCCTCCATAGCCAGTAACCTGTGTTTATTATACATTATCCCTCCATAGCCAGTAACCTGTGTTTATTATACATTATCCCCCATAGTCATTTATCGTTGGACCTAGGCAGCATGATGTCTTAGGCTGTCCCAGAGAGTGAGTGAGTGAATATTATAATATATATGTTCAGAAACATATTAGTAATATATGTAAATCGGGTTCATGCAAAGAGGGTGAAAAGGTATTAAAGAAAAACACACTTATTGCATCAAACTTAGAAAGCCAAACTTTTAAAAGCTTTCCTAATTTCTTTCTCGGGATGAGGAATATATCGGTTGTAGACTGAGGATTTCCATCTGCCCAATCTTTTAATAATATGCACTGGAGTGTCAGTGTTGAAGGAGGCCGAAGCTGCCTCTATTCTAAATGAAAGACCTGAGACATGGATACAACCCAATCTTAGGAGTAGTGTTCTGATGTAGAAGATGAATTTAGCCATAGTCAGAGGGATTCAGTGAGAGTAGTGGTGAAATGTGTGTGGCATGACTGAGTGTGGGTAAGTAAGAGTCAAGTATTTTAACTGGGCACTAGTTCTAGGTGGGATAAAGTGGTATAGCGAATGGATGAGTAGTTTGGTTCGTTTTAGAGGTTTGTAGAGAAAGTATATAGTGATCATGATTTTTAGCGATATCCAATATTTTTAAGGTGGTCCCAGTGCCACCACTCATATCTGGTGTCACAATAGCTTGCATTTAAAAAAAAAAAAAAACTTTTTTGACTGTAATATAATAGCAGTCAGTTTCCTTCACACGTGTGCGTTTCAGGGCCTGCCAGGGCACAGTGTCACACCAGTGCAACTCATATCTGGTGTTATAGTAGTGTACATTAAAAAAAAAAATACAGGGGGCTTGTTGTCACCTTTCGGGGACCCTTAGTGTTGTACGTGGCTGGATGGAGGAAGAGACCTTCAATGACATCAGTGAGGACAAGGAACGGGGCATGGCTAGCTTGGTATCCAACCTTGTGCAAATGGGGAGTTTGCGGTTGTGCAAATGGACTGTTTGCGGTTGTTTGCGGTGCGTTAAACGGGGAGTTTGGTCTGTCACTGTGAAGCGGGCGTAACCCTTACACTACCTGATCGATACAACATCAGACCTGATGTTTTAAATCACGTTATTCCAAACAATTTAGGAATGTTAGGTGATTTATGCCCTTTATGGATTAAAACCAGACTCTGCATCAACTATGTAATTTTCCATGGGAGTTTTGCCATGGATCCCTCTCCGGCATGCCACAGTCCAGGTGTTAGTCCCCTTGAAACAACTTTTCCATCACTATTGTGGCCAAAAAGAGTTTTAAAATTTGCCTGCCTATTGAAGTTTATGGCGGTTCGCCAGGTTAGCCTGTTCGCGAACATTTGCGGAAGATCGCGTTCGCCATTGGCGAACGGAAAATGTTATGTTCGCGACATCACTAATGAAAGCATACAATCAGCTTACACTCCTGGCAATCAGCATACAATCCAATTCCCCCAATAACGAGACAACACTTCGTTTTGAGGGTCAAGCAGAACTGACTGTTCTGGCACATACAGCCTCTTTTATTCACAATTAGTGATGTACCAAACTGTTCGCAGGCGAATAGTTCCTGGCGAACATAGCGTGTTCGTGTTCGCCGCCGCGGGCAAACACATGGTTTGATCCGTCTTCTATTCGTCATCATTGAGCAAACTTTGACCCTGAGCCTCACGGTCAGCAGACACATTCCAGCAAATTAGCAGCAGACCCTCCCTTCCAGACATCCCACCTCCCTCCCAGCATCCATTTTAGATTCATTCTGAAGCTGCATTCTTAGTGAGAGGAGGGAAAGTGTAGCTGCTGCTCATTAGATAGGGAAATTGATAGCTAGGCTAGGGTATTCAGTGTCCACTACAGTCCTGAAGGACTCATCTGATCTCTGCTGCAAGGACAGCACCCCAAAAAGCCCTTTTTAGGGCAAGAACATCAGTCTGCTTTTTTTTTTCTGTGTAATGTAATTGCAGTTGACTGCCTGCCAGCTTCTGTGTCAGGCTCACAGTGGATACTGTGCCCATTTGCCCAATGCCACCACTCATATCTGGTGTCACAATAGCTTAAGCTTGACATTTAAAAAGAAAAAAATGTTTTTCACTGTAATAGATTGAATAGCAGTTACTTGTCTGCCAGCTTCTGTGTCAGGCTCACAGTGGATACTGTGCCCATTTGCCCAGTGCCACGACTCATATCTGGTGTCACAATAGCTTAAGCTTGACATTTAAAAAGAAAAAATTTTTTTCACTGTAATAGATTGAATAGCAGTTAGTTGTCTGCAAGCGTCTGGGTGTCAGGCCTTCAGCGTGTATTCTGCCAACCTCTGCCAGTGTACTTTGCCACTCATATCTGGTGTCTCTATAGCGTGCCTTTACAAAGAAAAAACTTTTTTCACTGTTATAGATTGAATAGGAGTTAGTTGTCTTCAAGTGGGTGTGTCAGGCCTACAGCGTGTACTCTGCAGACCTCTGCCAGTGCACATTGCCACTCATATCTGGTGTCACAATAGCGTGCATTTAAAACCCAAAAACTGTTTTCACTGTTATAGATTGAATAGCAGTTAGTTGTCTTCAAGCGGGTGTCAGGCCTACAGTGTGTACTCTGCAGACCTCTGCCAGTGCACATTGCCACTCATATCTGGTGTCACAATAGTGTGCATTTAAAACCCAAAAACCTTTTTCACTGTTATAGATTGAATAGCAGTTAGTTGTCTTCAAGCGGGTGTCAGGCCTACAGCGTGTACTCTGCAGACCTCTGCCAGTGCACATTGCCACTCATATCTGGTGTCACAATAGCGTGCATTTAAAACCAAAAAACTTTTTTCACTGTTATAGATTGAATAGCAGTTAGTTG